GGTAACTTGTATTTCATCAATAGTAAGAATACACAAAGGAGGATGGACACTATGTACTGAATGTTCGAATGCGTGAATGCTTCTTGGATCTGGTACCCAAAGTCAGACGGCACAGAGTCTTCATCCTTACGACGTGAACGTCTGCCGTCCTTATGGAGTCCGTATTCCCGGCTCGTGGCTTCTGGGAACCCAGATCCTATAGGTTAACTCAAACTCCATCCTTGACCACAACAGCCCGTGTGAGATCTTGAAAGGTACGTCGTGCTGGTGCATTACTTTCGTCAAAACTAATCGGTGACCGGTTAAATTACTTGCAACTGAAAGGACGTCTTGCTAACATCTCACCGCTTTTAAAAGAGCTTATTGAAGGACTTCTTCGTCGTGATATATTAATTATTTCCAGGGTCTCGAATGGCCTGAGTAGGCCGGATGACGCCCGCCTTATCTCATTGGACGATTTTGACTTAGTTTTAAGCGAAGAGATTCTGAACCCTGTTGACCAGGACCGACTGACTGTCACCAAAACGTGCTTTAGTATCGCCGCAAACACCTGCCAACTTCACCTTTACACAGTGGTCATACCACCAGTCAGACCAATTGCAATCTAGCCAGGTCTAGGTTACATATCTGAGTTCATTACAGCACATCAATACGCACTACGGGAACTGTAATTCCCATGGGCATGACCATGCTGTCTTTCGCGCGCGCTTGCAAATTCACCCCTTACTTGAGCTCCAAGTGTCTCGCGCAAGATGGCTTTATGCTGTAAAATGGCAAAAACTCGGGACACCCAAGACCCTGGACGCGAAAAACTGATCTTGATCTTCGGCCCTGTCAAAGCTGAAACCAATAATAAATGGTTACTAGCGAGGTCTTCACTCAAAGAGACAAGTGAGAAGGTTAGCAGGATCATGCACTGGCACCACAATGACTCAGTCAGCTCAGGTATCTAGCAGTTGTCTGTCAGAGAACTCGAGCTGGGCCAAAGAACTTAAACGTCTTTCGCCACCTCGGGAAATGACGAAGTCGGCTAGAGATGGCCGCAAAAACTGCTGAGCTGAAGTGGTCACTCGAAGCAACAGACCCTGAATATTGGTGACACCGAAAAACTAAACCGCATTATTCCACAGGTGAATAGCAAACCCTCTGCATCGAGTGAATCAGTTCACGATAGATGTAGGGGTTTTACTGTTGACAGCTTGACTAGTGTCAAGTGCTGGCGTGAGCGCTTCAAAAAACGCAAAGTCGATGAACAGCCCTTAACTGCAGCAGTCTTCTAACCTTCTAAAGTATATGCAGTGTCGTGTGACTCCATCCACACGAAGGGACCATAGATAAATTACAGCAGCCGAGCAAGCACAAGGCGATCAGGAGGACGGCAGTCAAGCGGAGGTTTACAATCACCATGGCGCCCTGACCCCATGGCGCGATTGGATACGCGTGAGAAGATTTACACATTTCTGGCAACTGCAGTTCGGCCATCCAGGCGCCTGTGTTCAAGTAAAGAGATATGTCAAGGCACGAGGACGACCGAGGCGTAAATCCACAGGTTCTTGTCACTGACCTTTTCAGGAGATTGCCGTGTGAGTAAGTGTAGGACAAGACCCAACTATGATGTGTTTCGTGCCAGACTTAGATGTGTAGTTGCCCCCTCTCACGGTCGTCAGCGCCGCCGCTTGCTCATACCGCCTTCGGGCACCCTACGCACGTAATCTAAGCTCCGACTTGCGACGCCGATCGGCATTTCTCTCCCCACCGATTAGCCACAGCCGGACGAATTTCGTTGTCATGCACTTACGCTGACACTTGCCTCAGTAAAGCTCGCCTAGCCCAGTTCGCCTCCTCTGACTTGTGGTTTGGAATTGTCGTTTGTCGACTATCATGTTTTGGCAGATGCGTCGGCTTGATATTCCCACTGAGGAGCATTCCTTACGGACATGGCTGGCAGCAGCTGATGGCAATTCGCTTCTTTTGAATTCTTTGTAATGTTCAACTCCGTTAATCGCGAGTTTATATGCGAATAATGGAACAGTATGCATGTAAAACATTGCTGTCATCAAAACCTGCGACTGGTCCTATTGGAAGCCGGTGCTAATTCATACAAATATATCCCCGTCGCTCAATAAGGCTTTTTTTCTGTCCATTTAGTTACGGAATTTGCCAGATTCTCAAAGGGGCCCTACACGGCTTCGATGATCTCAAACTTCTTCTCGGCCCTCACTTGACTGACCTGGAATATGTAGACGCCACCCTTTTAGCACCAAAGTATAGACGACATTACGACATCGTCTCCCGAATGAATGCTGCTTGCAGATCTTACACAAGCCTAAGAATGTGTTTTTGGGCCTTTGGCGATATCACCACCGCCGAAATGTTCCGAGTATACAGGTAGTCAATCCAGTCAATCTTCATACGATTGTGAATGCTGGACTGTCCGTGAGAGAGACGAACGAAGACTGGGATGTCTGGCCAAAACTGCCAGAATATCCACTCCCAAGACTAGTAAACCGACTTTGTCTCGAACTAAACAGACTACACTCGCTGCGGCAACATCGCTAATATCTCAGGCCATCCAGAAAAGACGATTAAAGTGGTTTGGGTACATCCAGTTTTGCTGAGCGCGATCTGAAGTTGATGCTCACTCGTTGGCATCGAAGAGATCATTTCGAAACCATAATCAACAGAGTTCACAAATGCATGGAACTGGACATTTAACATCACCGATAACAAAACAGGATAGATCTATCCAGATCGGCTGCATCGTCGCGCATAGAGAGGCATAATCCACAAAACCGTCGGAGCCGGCTGGATTAGAAAAGATCACAGCCGCGCTAAGTGCAAGTAAGTCAAAGGAAAAGATTTGGTAGAGATCTCCCTACCTCAATAGTTCCTGCACAGGACGCACAATACTGCGAACATTTACCTACTAATGCGGTATTCCCTGATGAGCTGGGCTTCCATATAGATTCCCAACTTCACAGAAAATGTGGAGACGACAGGCTAATTTCATATGTTGTTCTTCCGCTCTTGAAGAATTCTTATGACGAGAGAGACGTTTCGGAATACGTATAATAAACTGCCTACTTGTACCTGTGTGCTATACCATTCCAATCACATGGTTTATTTTTACTAGAAAGCCTCCTTAAACCGCGTGTGATAGCATTTATAAAAATGGGCCCACTTTATTGGCAATGGTCCGGAGGGTGTGTCGAATTTCTGACGAGTTCATGCCTTCCGTCATCATCTTTTGGTTATGGTACTTGGCCACTTATGTCTTCAACCCCTCTCACTTATCTACGATCTTCGCGTCCTCCTCTCCTCGGCTAGAACGAACAACAGTAGCCACTCAGTTACACTTGCCCCTTACTGACATAACCGCAGTATAGGATCATCACAACCGACCGATAGGCCAGTCTAAAATTTACTTTCTGTCTCACATCACTTGAACCATCTGCTGTCCTCTCGGCGGAATGTCTGATGGCAACTTCGGAGCGACTTTCTTCCCAATAAGGCGGTTTCACATGCTGAGTTAAGGACTTCTGGAATTTAGATTAAAACTGAAATAATTTAAATTCCCCCACTATCGACTGTTTTAAAATAACCAGGCCAGGGGTCGCTAGTATTCATGTTTGGGTTGTCAACTGTAAAGAACCTACTGGGAGTTTTGACGGCCACCTCTTGTTCTTGATAATGTAGATTGCAGCTGATTAAGTCAATACAAGTGAAAGGCAGATGAAAGTAGTTTATGTGGGGACTGGCGAGCGCTCAGGATTGTAAGGTTACAATGAGAAGTCAGTAGGTGGATTTGAAACCAGACTGCAACGTCCACAAGCGGTTGATGTTCGACTTTCTTTTAGCTAACAAATGGCATGGTGACCTTTTTCACCACAGTGTATCCAGTCACTTTTGTGTCGCAAGGCGGAAGCAACCCATACCTACCCTATTTGTGTGTGATGGTTTGTACATTTTAAGCGTGTGTTACGTTCCACATTTCTGGCTAAGGACGCATAGGCAAGATAAAAACTGAGCTTAGCCAGAGAGTCAGCCAATCCAAGCCCAACAGTGGGTAAAAAACTCAATAAAGAGCGCCTTGAGAAACCCACGTATTTGCACACTGAAATCAGTTAGATTTCAAACGTCAAAACCTTATCGTACTGAAGTGCTTTCAAACCACTAATATTGCCGCCGTGAGTAAAGCAAATTGCATCTACTACCGAGGAGTGTAGTGTTCAGTTTTTGGTCCACGTGAAGGTCGTAGTAGGTCGCACCATTCGTATCTGGCAGGTGGTCGCTACGTCTGGTATCCGCCAACTGGCACCCAACTTCCATTTATGGCTCCCAAAACTAGATTCTGCTTGACGGTCGGTCTTCAGTGACCACCTCGGCCGGTGGGCCAAACCAGGTGAGGGTATCCGGTGTTGTGTGTGTCCCTAAACCCAGTAACTCTGCCCCCCTTCCCTTCCCCTTCCCCCACCAACTTCAAAAAGTCTCACGGAGAGGACGAAATGCAATCCCGTAGGCCGGCCAGGCTAACTCGGGTCGTCCTCCCACTAAATAAGTCGTGACCCATGGTGGAGTCCAGCAGCCGTCTGCGATGTCTTAGTAGCCCTATTTAGGGACAGCACAACTTACATTTTCACGGAGAACATGGCTAGAAAAGGTGCCCTGGACGAATGCTGAGACCACGTCCTCTGCATGCTAACCGTGGCCTGCAGCTGCATCACTCGCTGTCAAAACAACCAAACAAACAAAAACAACCCCCGCCACCACCCCTGCGGGCCGCCCATTCTGACAGCCTGGAATTTCCGATCTCCTTCTTTTGGAGCGGCCGCCCAAAGGTGGAACGACACGACGTCGGCGTCGCCCTTGCTATCCGGGACGACATCGTGAAACAACTGCCCTGCCTGTCGCAGCGCATCAACGATTGACTGATGAACATGCGCCTGCCCCTTTGGGGATCTTAATTCAGTGTCATCACCAGTGACTAAATTCGCCCAATGATCAGTCCTGACGAGGCAAAAGCCAAGTTCTATGAAGACCTGCACGCCCCCCTGACGACAGTGTCGAAGATGGACAAGCTGGTTGTCATTGGCAATTTCAACGCTCGCGTAGGGCAGCCAGTGCTGCCCCGAAGGAGTGCTGGGTCCCCACGGAATCCTCGGCTGCAACGACAATGGTCCCTTCCTGCGAACCTGCGCAGAACCCCGTCTTCTCCTGACCAACACCTTCTTCCTCTTGTCAGCAAGGGAGAAGGGGCTGCGGATAAGCCCCTCAGGATTTCGAGGATGCGACGATCGTCCATCTCCACAAACGGAGGGGAAACCAGCAACTCTGTGATAACCATAGAGGAATTTCGATGTTCAGCATAGCTGGATAGATCTTCGCTCGCATCCTCCTCAACCGTCCAATTGACCATCTCGCAAAAGGACTTCTCCCAGAAAGTCAGTGTGGTTTCCATCGTCACTGTGGGACCACCGACATGATCTTCGCCACCGCCAGAACGCACACACCCACCTCTACCTTACCCTAGTGGACTTAAAGAAAGCCTTCGACAAGGTGAATCGCGAAGGGTTGTAGAAAATAATGGAGAAATCCGGCTGCCCTGAGCGATTCACGATCATGACACGCCAGGCCCATGAATAGATGATGACGCAGTAAAGTAGGGGTTCTAGGCGCAAGTTCAGGAGAAGAATGAGCTACATTTATGCAGCGATAGACGTAGTAAACCCGTCTTTTTCTTACTCTTCCGCAGATAATACGCTGGCTTTCGGTGGGAAATATCCCTGTACCTCTGTATATAAAGTTCAGTGCATAATAACTGCGTAAGCAGTCCACAGTGATTAAATTGATTCGCGACTGTTGTACTGATTTAAACACACTTAATAAGAAGGGTCTGCAATCATCTTGCCTTCTGCACTGATTTTACAGGCAATCACGCGCTCTTAACTGACGCAGCATTTCAGCGTCCGTAGTTGGGACAACTCTGGGACGAAAATCCGTTCCGTTTTCATCCTGCACGGAAACGATAAAAAGCAGAACCTCACAGGAATATTTAATCGTAGTTAAATATTTCAATATTTTCTACAGCATCATTTCACTTTTCACTTAGTTAAATTATGCGTCGCCTCTATAATTCCCTTAGCTTCGATGAGAGATAGGAAACCAGCTGAGTTTCAAAATCGGATCAGACTTTCGTTCCAACCTGATATTTTATGAGCACGAGGATTCCTCCCGCATTAACAGGGGAGGTATGTGAATTGATTGTTGGAGAACTGCACAGTACCTGATTTGATGACTTCCGTGAATACGCGGTTTGAATTTTATATCATACACAAGCCAATATATCTTTTTACTCATTAATTGTCTGTCTGTTTGGTCAACTTAAAATATTCCACCAAGCTTATAAATACTGCATGAGATGTGGGTTGCGTCATACAGATAGTAAGCTCCGCTACAAATTTTCAAATGGAAGATCAGACAAATATCCAATCCAGTATCCCACAAAAATCTTTAAATCAACGGCTCTTTTAAAGCGAAAAGTATGTCCTTTCCTCAGACATATGCTTCAAGAAAACGCGATTTGGGCAGAAGGGGATTAACACCAAAGACAAGGCAGAATGGGATAGACATTTCTGGCATATTAACGGCACTTTTGGGTAATCTCCTTCTGCCTGTATTACTAGTAACTGTGTGACTGCTTGCGGAATCTAGAACGAGCTCCAAAGCACAGTGGGACGGCCATTACTAGTGATCCAAACATAGTTAGTATTCCGACCCCAACCGGCAGAGTAACGAGCCCATGGATCAATGGATAGAGCACCGGATTTACTAAGGCTTAATAACAAAACAGACGCGATCTCGAACTTCAAAAGCTCCCAAATCTGATGTTTGTTAAGGCCGGCTGACGAAGGATAATAAGTCAGAGATGTCCATTCCAGTCTCTCTTGTCCTTGTCGATAAGCGCCCTCTGCATAAAATCGCTGTGCGACTGTCTCCGGGGCTCTAGATCGAGCTCCAAAACACAACGGGACGTAACCCAATCGGTAACGGCACTTCCAATGAAGACGTGATTTCTTACGCAGTGTGTATGAGAGATTAAAAATTAGGCATGTCCCACAAAAGATACGATGAAGTAGGCAACGAAGACCAATAAACATACACATTACCTCAGCATCGAGTCTTCCCGAATATGATTTGCAAAGTGGCTGAAAAGACTCAATCAAAGGTTGAGGCATATTAATTAACGGGGTAGCATGATCTATGCTTTGCAAAATCGCAACCTCAGTAACCCTTTGAACGCGACAGTACGCTAAAAATCTCAACTTATTTTTATACTCCCAATAGGATTAGCCCAGAAGATGCTTGTAATTTGAATCTTTTGGAAGTAATCCATTCTTTGCGGGACCCTGGTTCAGTGTCTCAGCATACAACTCGTATGAACAGTGCATTTTAAAACCTCATCACATCTGAAAATGCTAAAAGCATAGAGAAAATAGAAATTTTACCCAAATGTTTCACCTGCAATGAGATAAACCACTGGGATTCGAAAAAGCCCTACCCTTTTCTAATTACTTCAAATTGGATTTGGACATTATTCACTTATATTACCACGAGGCACCTGAAGTTGCACGACCGTTCAGAATACACTCTAAAAGTTACAAACATGCCGCACATCGTAAAAAATAACGAAATACCAGTTATTTGTCAGCACTGAATGCAGATAGAGTACTACTTCGTGGGGGAATTAATTTACTGTCACGATGTACATTTGTCGAGTCAAGCAAAGGGAAAAAACGGGCTTTTCCACTTCATTCGTCAGCTTCTCTCTGAATTTCGGGGTCGAATCGAATCTGAAGGGAGAAATTAAAGAGCATGCGCTTACCTTTGCAATGAACATGTTACTTATGTTAGTCAGAAACTCTTCTCTTGTGAGTTTCCCCGGTATATATACATTTTGCAACTGAAGAACTCACGTTATCAGGACACATACCTTTGAGGGCTCAATTTGAGCGAAGATCTCAGACAGCTTTAAGCTAAAAGAACGTGAAGAAAACTGAGAGAGTAGTTGTCCTAATGGCGAATGGTTTATATGGCAGTATGAGGCGCAAGATTGTTTATCGTACGGCCCTGCATAGGGAATTATTGGCAAAAATCTTGTCGTAAATGAACCCAGAACTGGATGCCACGACAATCGCATTAAATCAAAAAGGAACCAGAAGAAATGGGCTATGCAAGAATCAAGAACTAAAACCGCGTAAGAAGTGGTGCATTGGAACGTCCATTTCTGGCTGACTGGGATATTAGTCGCCATTGATGGCAGGTAAAGTAAAAATGGCCAATTCGATGTTTCCATACTTCGTCTGTGGCACTTCCTACTTATTAATCGCCTGCGTGGGGGTCGGACCCGGTGTGCCAAGGCAGAACGGAATCACTTCTAAAAAGAGGACATAGCACGGAACGTCGCCTGCTTACTTTGGCCATCTCTGATTGGAAACACTCAGAAGGTTTAAAACGTGTGGACTATCGACAATTCTCTTTTAGGCCATCGGTATTGAACAAGCGGGCAGCATGCTCCTTAAATAACATTGCCTCAGAGCCCGTACATGTAATCTTCCCTAGGTAAAATAGAATGTCTCGCAGCGATTCTGGAAGGGAGAAGAGCAGGATAATACAACGAAAAGGGACTGCTAAGAGATGTATACTCAAAAACGTCCGTTGGTTGCTGTTGATGAATTCCGTGAATCGAGCCTACGAACATGGCTTTATTGTCATTTCAAGAAAGCTATTCGCTCAATACAGTGTTAGAAGAACCTCAAAAAAGCAATCCTTAAGGGAGGATTACAACAGAACGGCCAAGAGACGACTGACCCAGCAATCTCCACCTGGAAATTTTTGGAGTTGTCCTTGGAAAGCCGTTGGTTAAAAGGGATCCAACTCAGTGTTTGAACTGCCTCAATACTTTAGGCATGCTCGAACGGTTGTACTTATTGAATTATGCGAATTACTATATGCGTGGCTCAGTGACTGTGAATCGCACCAAGTCTCTTCAAATATCTCGGGTACTGGGGTAGTAGTGTCTTTTTTGACTAGCAGACTCCTGGATTGCAGCTCTGAATCCAAGACATCTGAAGCCTCTGATCTCAATGTAAACGGAGTTCTTGAAAGAAGTGCACTTTTCACATAGAGCAGCAAGTTCTTCTCACGGCTTTTAGACTTCACACTCCGAGGTCATAGTATAGAGCACCATATTTCTCTAATGACGGCACTTGTTATTATCTGAAAACACGTAAATGAAATATGCAGAAGCAGATCACTGACAAAGGCAAGAGAAGATGGAAAGGACGTTTCTGGATTGTCAGCCGTCATAAGACGGCCATGTTCAAATCCAGATCTGCCACACATTGAATTCCGACCTAGGATATTTGGCCACTGGATCGAACGCTCTACTGTTGGGCCACAGGCCCGCTGTCCCATTGGTCGTGATCGTAAATATTAACCTTATTGGAAAGGCATTAACGAACGGTTTAGGGGACCCGCTCGTCCGGTTGTGCTATGGGACTTGATCAAGAACTCCGAAGGCAGTCACAGAGTGACAAACAATATTACAGTTCGGCCGTCGATTCCGACGATGCCCACTGTGTGCTCCACAAAAGGGCGAGAGCAGGCACGGTGACTTACGCGTGAAGTAGTTTATAGTAATAGTGGACTTGGGCAACATCTACCGCACATTCTCCCCCGCCACCATCTGGATCTGGTATCATGATAAAGTCAAGATGACTGGAGGTGAGAGAGGACGCAGACGGCTAGTACGGTGAAAACCCGCACCTAGGCGTGCCCTCAAAACCTCTGGTCCGCAATGTACACTGACCAGGGCTATGTATTACAACAAAAATAGTGGGCGGCACAGATCCCAACTGACATGGGACGTGCCTGTACCCGGACCTGCAGCCACAACTCCGATGTTAGGGGTTCGCATTGCAGATAACGCCTGGCGGACACCGTCCGATCCCTCACGTGATGGTCCAAGGAATCTAACGCGTGGCCTCCTTCTAGGGGGACGACAAACGATATAGACAGGTGATTGCTGACAGAGACAAGTAGTAAGCCAGGAATTGCCATTTCAGTCTCCCTTGTCTTTGTGGGCAATTTTCTGCCTATAGTAGCTGCACTGTAACCGCCTGCGGGGCTCTAGACCGAGTCCGAAAGCCTAACGGAATGGGCGGGCCCAGCAACCCGATCAGTCAATGCCTTTCCAACAAAATGAAATATAAATATTGGCCACAGAAATAATATTACGATGATTATTTTATGGCCCATTCACGGTATGCCTGCATATAGCTCATATTCAAAGTCGCACGTTCGCTTTAGAAATACTATGTACTTTGCACAAGACCAATCTAAAAGCTTAGAAGTTTTTGAGCGTTCCAAGCGCTAAAATATGCAGTGAGTGACCGATCTGATGAAATGTTGGCTGAAATCCTGAAATGCGTTTTCGATTAGGAAGGATTACTTGGTCGCGGTTGTGATACTGATTATCCTAAGGCATTGTCTTATAACATTTCGGACTCGGCAGGATGTCGGCTTTTAAATGCACTTCTTCTCAATCGCTTGTAGAAAGCGTGCTTGGTAAAAATGACTATTTAAGTAGCATGCATTTTTCCCATTGATTTTTGATGGTCTTGGAAATTCAAATATATGTTATAAAAACCATGAACAAAAATATGCTTTCTTTTAGGCAAGCAATAGAGAATCACGTCTTCTTTTTATTTTATACTTAAGGGGGTTTCAAAAAAGTTTTATAATTTCCGAATAATTTGGAGCCTGATCATTCGTTGCATTAGCGCTTAGTGATTTCAGTCTACAAGGTGCATGCGTTCCTCGTAAAGAAAATAACATATTTTCTATGCCATTAAAGAGATATCCTACAGAGTCCATAAAATTTTGCAATGGATGCGGATCATGTTGTACATTTCATGAGGAGCAGTGGTAAACGGCCAGGTACGTTGCTATGTTAATGGACATTTCGCGGTCTTAAAAAGTCTCATAATTAGAAACTTTTTAAAACCTAATTATACTCCTTCTTTAAATATAAAATATAAAGAAGACGTAATTCTCTATTGATTGACTAAAATAAAGCATATTTTTGTTCATGGTTTCTATAAAATATATGTGAATTTCCAAGACCATCAAAAATCAGTGGGAAAAATGCATGCTACTTAAATAGTCATTTTTTACCAAGCAAGTTTTCTACAAGCGATTGAAAAGAAGTGCATTTAAAAGCCGACATCCTGCCGAGTCCGAAATGTTATAAGACTATGCCTTAGGATAATCAGTATCACAACCGCGACCAAGTAATCCTTCCTAATCGAAAACGCATTTCAGAATTTCAGCCAAAATTTCATGAGATCGGTCACTTACTGTAGCTACTGACTCTACCGCTAACATGCGGGTCTGGCCACTTCACGATATATAAAAATAACTAACGATCTCAGTTCACATCCCTTTCCCGAATAAATCGACTTTTGAAGCAAAACAGCGAGACGAAGGTATGTGCGAAGAGCGTAACACGACTAAATTTCTTCAGCGGTACAAGTGAGCTCGGGGAGCAATTACACATATGGGCGGATATGATACGAAATCTTATTTCTTATCTGAGGTCTGTCATCTCAAGTAGTCTTCGACTACCAGTCAGAAACTAATCCTGATTAGAAGCTAGCAAGTAAATTGTAAAATGATGGAGTTAATAGGAAAAGACTAACGCAGAATTGTTCTGTTTAGAGTTTGATGGACTGAGCAACCTTGAGAAGACTGAAAAAAGGTTGAATAAATAAGGAAAATGTAGTTTTTTAAGTTTTTATGGAGTCTAAAGCAACCACAGACTTGAGAGTAAACTTAAGGAGATGAATAAAATACGCAACACCCGATGAAAGCAAGCTAAAATGATAACAAAATAGGACGACGGTATGAGGAGACAATAATTGTTAAATGGGGTTCAAAATTAAGGCCCGCAAAATAATCAGCTATCGCTAACAAGCCAATTGCTCGTGAACATCGCGTTTTTAACTTGTTACAAGTGTACAGTGTAGATCACACTGAATAGCCACATCACAACCAGGGCAAGTTAACAATAAAAGCGCGAGCTTTCTCTGTTCCGTGTGTGAGACCACGGAATTAAAGAAAAATTGGGCCCGCTGGTAAGCTTTTTACGGTTCCTAAAAACCAGCGACATCCGTTGTAGTTTGAAGAGGGGTTTTCGAAATTTTGTTGTCTCCAGTTTGCTTAGCATACCGCTTCTAATCAGGATGAATAAAACATATTGACCGAAGTACTTTTTGTAGGCACTTGCAAAACTAAAAAATATTAATTTGTTGAGTCTCATAATTTAACGTAGCAGCTGGCGATAATATAAACAACAGTAGCCCTCAATAAAGAAGTTCTTTTTTTACTACGAACCAGTGCTCGAAGAGTGGACAGTTTGGATTATATAGAGCGTCTGGAGGGGTTATCACCATTGCAACCCAGATGAAGACTTTGAATAAAGACAAAATACCAATAACGTGCGGTTAAACTATTCAAAAAAATTGATGGAACACTTTATTCCGTAAAGTACATCGCAGCCGAGTATCGTTAACAGAACGAGAAAAAATATAATGAGGAGTCAAAACTGATTTTTTAGCCCTAACATATTTTATTATGCCGTGCAACAACTGATGAGAAATGAAGATATCCACTATGAGCAAAAAGTTGGCAAGTCCAAGCCATAGATGACTTGTTCATCAGCCATCAGTACCTCGCAGACCGCCCGTTTGCCGTTCATCCTTTACAAGGTGTGTCGAAATGCAAGGCTTCAAAATTTTAATTCATATCGGATACCGAGTAAATGGGTTAGTTGAGCTCAGTTGCGCAGCCTTATAGAAGAATTAAAATGAGCACTCCACTTCTCACTCCACTTGGAGTTGGGGTTGCACACAGGCCGGAAGAAACCATTAGGCGCCAAGTCATGAGGCTAAAAGACCCGCTGCCACGGCAGGAAACGTCTGAAGTGGTTTACCGGATCTGGTGTAGTTTTTGACAAAGCAAATATGTCGGAGAAACTGGGAGATTACTCCGTATGCGAATTGCCGAGCACGCAGCAGCAGTGAGGCGGGGAGACGCTAACTCTCAGGTGGCGGCACACTCGACGGGACCCGGCCATATTTTCAAATTTCAAGAGGTCGAAATCCTCGCAAGGGGTGACAACCACGTGAGCCGCGAGCTGCTCGAGTCATGGTTCTCAGGCCCGCAATCAATCAACAAGCACAATGACCTCCCGGTAACATATTCCGTGCTGCGATTTCCCCTGGGCAGGAGAATTAGTCACGTGGGGAGGGCGCGGGTGAGCAATTATCACAGTGACAGTGAGCCAGTTTGCCGAGCAATCGTCACACCAGCATCCAGCACGGATGACGAAATCACGGCAAGTAACGACTCGGACTCGGACCGACAAGCCACCGCCGCATCAATTACGACCCCAGCGGTGATTGCAAGAACGGTTAATTGCAGTGCGCATACGGCCCACGGCAGCCACGTGCTATAAATACTGCACTCCTGGTGTCACCATCACCTTTATCTGCGAATGTCTCTGATGATTGATTCGAGTGAGAATCCGAAACGTCAGGCCAATAAATTTCTTGTTTCAGCGATCGAATCTTCATCTTCTGACTGAGCACTTTATCAGAAACAGCTGTCCAAAGTCAGTGCACCCTTTGGACGAATATAGACAGTCGAAAAGCTGTGGCAAAGGTGACAGTCTAAAGGATTTCACCTGATTAATTGGTACAAAAATGAACCTCCAAAAGTTGATCCCGCAGTTTTTTTATCGATTTTTCAAATAAGGTGCCATTTATATATGTGCTTATGACGATATACGAAACCTTTCCGCGCGAAGTAGTTGTCGTATGAAAATTATTTTAGATTGGAGAATAACAACAGCATCTATGCTTATTTGGGTTTCACGCACCATCCGGTAATTCTTAGTGAGTATTAGAATTCCTGCTCGCCCATGCCATGCTTAGAACATTTGCATTTAAAAACAAGTTTGTATTTTGGTGATACCTATGCCAGCACGTGGCTGAGAAGGGGCTAATAGGAGGCATGGCACATGAATAAACACATGATTCAGGAACATTGGCGGGGCAATAAACCGCGTGTGTGGGTCTATCTTACAACAAAAAGTCTATTTGGGCGAAAGTAAATAACAATTTGGTTTATACTTTTGCTGAAGCCCACGTGAGCGGTTTCCTCATCGCTAAGTAAAAACATGTCTTCGTCTGTCGCATGTACGTGCAGTAGAAAGGTGCACAAGAAAATACGATGATGCGGAATTTAGGAAGACATCTTGAGTGAGTTCAAAGATAAGTCCTAAGAAATTTAAGAAGAAAGTGCAGCCGTGCACGATCGACCTGCTACTGCGACAACTGGACCACATGGCGCAAAGAGGTTCAATAATAATTAAAACGGACAAAACCACTTTAAGAAAAAGAAGTACATGACGCTTATATACACTGCCTCGAGCTAAGACAGAAGACATGCTGAGGACTACAAGAATTGTACAGACATATACTACAATATTAAAATTGGAGTTGGGTTCTCTACAATCCGCGTTTAAATTTCAAACTGAGTAGGTGCATTGGACAACGCGTACTCTAAAACGTAACTAGAAAATAGCACTATTTTATCTCCCCAATGTATAAGACAGGAAACCTCCAAGTAGTAGATGAAGAAGCCGAGGACAAAAACAAGTAAATAACTATAAACCGTAAAAAAAGAAAATACACCTTTTAAGCTTGAGTTGCATAGTTTTGCTACTCTTCGTCGGCGCGTGATCAAGCAGATATTACACTTACTTATATAGGGGGTCTACTGGTCTTGATGTCTCAATCGCACGACCTCACGTTATCAATACTTGTTGAGAATTAAAGTACGATTTATTTACGAATAATGCCATCCACACGGTTCAGTGAACATAACTGAGTTCTATCATTCATTTGTACTCTCAAACCCTAAGGCACCTCAGAGACTGACCATGCACGCACTCTTAGTCCTCAAACGTGATTTTGAAGTAGACTGTGAGTGGAATCCACTGACGCACTTAATCGGCTTCGCTCGAACATAATTAGAAGGGCACCAAGTTCTATGGGTAATTTCCGAGTATGCATGAACGGGTGATTAAGAAGCCTTAAAGGTGCTTTTTAAAATATGAGAAAGTGCCTAAGTCATGCTTTGAGAGTGCGAGGACAATCTATGTGTACGGCTGTAAAATTAGCGTGAGGACACCACGTGCGAATATGGTGCAACCAAAGCAACAGCTCATACACATGGACTCTCTTGAAATTTTCGAGAAAATTAAAACCGCGAATAAAGTAATTGGGTTTCGGTGATGTCTGCATCATGAAGCGCGCGAACATCGTCTCGAACATAACGATTATTTATGTTAGCAAAAATCGGTCAAAACTATAGAATAGCTTAAATGACGGCCCGTTGGCCACGAAATCCGGTGATTTTAATGAACTTTCTGTTAACCTCAGAATAAAAGCAAAATCTTTACTACAAATCACTAAAAATATTAACTTACTGTTCCTGCCAGGTATGCGATAGTGCGTCCGAAAAAACGGCTAGGACGGCAATAAGGAACTTGCGTTTATTTGTAAGAGATAGGATCTTTTTTTCCGAAAATTTTATCACCTTTGTGAATAATTTGGAGCTTTCGGCTATAACTTCTTTTGAGATTTGAGGAATACAAAAGCAGACCACGTCGTACCTTTGTAAATCAAAGTTGTCATAATAATCCTTCGGAATTTTGAAAATGTGACAAATCTCTCGCAATTTGTAAGAGTATTAAGGAACCATGGTCCACCAATTGTGTCTCTGGAAATCATGAGATAAATGGACACTCACTTCAGCAGCGCCCGAACAATTACTTTTAGTGGCGAAAATGGCCCGTTTTCCGTTCCGAAATCCCCTGAAGAAACGTTAACTGGCTTCCAATTACTGTGCAACAGGCACTCGTATGCTTTTCGGAGGCGTGGAAGAAAAGCATCCGATCTGAAATCCATTGAGGTCAAATCAAAAACAATTTTGTCAACGACCGATTTGGGCTTTAAGCTAATCAATCAGCGTAAATATAAAAAACCTTACCAATCAATTAGAAACTTAGTAGGCATCTTCGTATCACTCAAGACGAGGGAAGAGAACAGATCCTCGACAATGGACAATATCCGCTTTTCTTCTATGAATAATTAAAGAATCCGTGTAATTTATACCTAAGAACAACACATCTTCTGTTGGTAGTTGGTTCATTTAACTCTGTATGCTTTGAAAAAAGTTACACGGCATTTTCGGCACCGACGACATCCACCGAGCAGCAAAGAGCGCGTCAACGAGTGATACCTTCGAAAGTGCAGAGAAGCCAAGGATTAGTTTGCATGAGGTTGTTTAAAACACAGAGCGCAAATTACCGAAGTCAACACTATATACGTCGAACGAAAACAATGAGAAGGTGACATTGTTTTTTCATTTGATTAATTAATCAGGAGTCAATTCTTTAGAAGCAGCTGCCCCGACCGAAAAGTAAAACGATAACTAAAGGATGTTCGGTAGAGACTTGGAGAGTATGTTGGTAGCAATTAACAGTGTAAGAATAAACAGGAAATTCAAAACTTTTTGATATGTAAATGACCCTTTTTCACTGTTTGTTAGAGTCCGAAGACATAAATAAAGCACCAGTGAGTTCACATAAACTAACTTCAGGACCGGGGAATTTTAACTGGAAGAAGTGACACCGCGCAGCAAGAGTACCAGCTTAGATATAGTCAAGATGCGCAGGTCGATTTTCAAAAATATACGAAACATTTGATTCAACCCAATATTTTTGGCAATCAGCATATAGTATCGGCCGATCCTTTTGCATTATTCGTTAATGGTCACACACAACTCGTGTTTGTTTTATCTGTCCTTTTTCTTTTAGTTAATAATAATGATAATAATAATAGTAATAATAATTTATTTAATGCCAGTTTACAGTCATTGTCAGGGAAGCGTTAAATACAAATCCGTCAACAGTGAAAACAACTCCTGTGGAAATGGAATAATAATATAGTTGATAGTGGTTTTTATGGTTTGGCGGGTTCAGGAGAAAAAGAAAACTGCTGACGGCAAACTTTCGACAGTCAAGAAGGGAGGGGTTGAACGGTACCGGATATTCTCGGTCGCCAACTTCTTTCATAAAGTTGGGGCTAGTCCAAACAGAAGCGCTGAAGAACAGCTGTCACTGTTGGCTGTTGATGTTGCTTTTCTCTGTACCAGGAGCTGTGCGTGCAGCTCAGTTTCAAAGATAAGTGGAGCTTTGCATTTACTTGGATATTCTTGAGCAATTAATGCCTGTTTTATGCTAGAGTCCTTTTTAAAAATCGCCTTTCAATATAAGGTATAATTTTTCCCAGTTTTGTTTGACAGTCTGGCAAAATAGTCGTATTTTGTAAAAAAAAACCTTTTTAGTGACTCCTTTCCCAACTATCTCTTTCTAGTTTTCGTAGTAAAGTAACAGCAGTACTTGCTATTCAGTGCGTTTTTTTGTACTTTAGCAACGTTTTGATCCTTGTACTGTAAGGAAAAAAGGAATAAACTGAATTGTCTGTGATGCCCCGCAGAGCACGTGCTAAAAGACGAAAGCTTGCTGCCTCCCCACCGTCTCCGGGTGCTAGAATCGCCATCGAAGACATAGCAGTTGCCAGCATATGTTCGTCGCCTTCTGCAGATAAGGTTAACTCACAAATCCCTTTAGTACATGTAGAACCTCCTGACCCTTCAATCGTCCGAAAATACGCCTCTGCTAGTCGTAGCAGGACATCAGCCGACGAAATAGTCGATCAGTTGATATATGGCGACATAAACAGTATTTCTGAAAAAGTAACTGAACAAGCTTTCAAACTTATTGGGGTAATAAGCTCTGAAACTGAGGAGGGAATAAAACGCAAGCATAATTTTGTACTGCGAAATATTCCGAGTCACTTATGTGCTATGGAGGGAGCGCATTTGTTCCTACAAAGTTGTGGCTTGAGTTTCACTGTTGCACAACCTAAATGACTGCGCTCACCTAGCCGTAATGCGCCGATCCTAGTTACCCTTTTCTCCTTGATAGACGTCGATTTTATCTTGTCGAGGAGGGAGATAACTAGAGAATTCTGCCGTTAATGGCGCTGCTCCGTTTCTCCAGACCTCACACCGCTGCAGCGAAGACTGAATAAATTAAATTTGGCAAAAACCAATACCAGTATAATGACACCTACTGTCAGTTTTAATAAGTCCTCTACAACACTATCTGCGGCCCCTGCACGTCACGACATAATCAACACCGTAATGAATTCGACTACTATTGATGTTGAGATCTTTAGAAGCAACAACACGCCTGGTATACAAACGCCGCTAACGATTCCCCCAGCAACCCTTAGTAAGCTTAAGCATGTGCCTAAGTCAAAGGCAAATCCAATTGCTGTCTCAGCCACTCGGAAACCCAATAAATCCAGCACCATTATAAAATCTTTTCCTCCACAATCGGCTAACAGTGCCTCAAATACCCCGACTCAAAACGTAGCGTGTTCCCAACTGCCCCCCAGCCCTCATATCGAGGCAGTTAGGCCGAATATGCCGATTTTCCCGCCGTTTAATAGAACTCTTGCTCCAATGGAAACAATGCGTCCCCCACTCCCTAAGTTGTTTCCCCCACAGCCGTTTTACAAATGTATTCCTCATGCCAATGTCCATACTGGATCAATTAACTCATCCGATCCTCAGTTTCGTTCCGGCGGGAATGTGTTGCAGTATCTGCCCCGCGGATTTCCAGCTAAAAATAAGTTAGCTAACAATGGTTACCAGTTTACCTGCCCGTCATTTCCTCCTCCAAGTCCTACCCCTTTTTATCCACGTCAGCATCTTTTGATGCCACAAAATTTTTTGCAGAACCAGATGGTTGCATCCGGACCATTTGCTCCGTGGGCAGACCAGCGCAGGACGATGTAGCCCATCTCCCTCAGAAACAAACAGCTTTTCCCCTCAAACTTTTTGCTTTAAATGTCAGATCCTTGCTTAATAAGATGCCTTTGCTTCAGAATTTGGTGTTCGTCCATTGTCCAGATATTTTTTTAGTAACTGAGACATGGGCATCAGCCTCAGTAGCTGACTCCGAACTCTCGCTTCTAGGCTATAACCGATTCGAAATGATCGCCAAGATAGCCGTGGTGGGGGCACCTGCGTCTACGTTAAGCAAACACTTACATTTTTGCCGCTTGACCTCCTGCATTTTTCCGCAGTAGAAGGCAGCCGCTGGCTCCAGGCTGCACTAAATATAAGTCCTCCTTACTCGTTGGCTGCGTCTATCGCCCACCCAACGCCAACGACAATTTTGATCGTTTACTCTCACAGGCATTTCATGCTGCGGCCGACCTAAGCTTTAAGTATCCATTGGTTGCGGGCGACCTTAATCTCCCTGAAGTCCGCTGGTCTCCGCCTTCAGGCCCCAGAGAGTTCAAAGAATTGTTTGAGGCTGTGGATGTTGGAATGCGGACTCAGGTTGTCGATTTTCCCACAAGAAGATCAAGCATACTTAACCTTATTTTCTGAAGAGGCTGCATGCCATCATCAGTGTCATGTTAAGGCCCACTCGGGGGCTCAGACCATGACATAGTTGCTTCAATGTTGGAATTCGAGGCTGACAAAACGTTGTCCCCAAAGTATAGCTTTTACCGCAATTTCCGATCAACTCGCTCAACCGAATTATTTACACACCTTAATTCCTACAACTGGACTGATTTCTTTCTCAGTTCAGATGTAACAGTTTGCATTGCAAAAATGTACAAAATTTTGGATCCGCTTATTTCTTGTTGTGTCCCCGTAAGAAAATTATTAATATTGGGGACAACATTTTCCTACCCTTACCCTTTCGTCGCAGATTGCGCAGACTTTATCGCCGTTTCCATCTTCAGAATGATGTTTATGTCCTGCCCTTGATTGTGATATTTTTGAGCGGGCTAAGAGATTGTCTGAAGAAAAGCAGCTGGTCAAGGAGATCCAGTTTACCGAAAACCATTCGTTAAATGTCTCGAAACTTTTCTCTAGAAAAATACGAACTCAGAGAAAGATGCAGCATCCCATCCTCCGAGACGCCCTCGGAAATCCTATAGTTGATGCCCAGTTAACCGCTGATAGCTTCAATAAGTTCCAGTCCAAAACGTTCATTGAAGACTCGACCACTCCGCTTCCGACCATCCATGCACTGACTGGGACAGTCCTAGAAACTATAACTTTCACTCTGTGGGATGTGACTGTTGCGATTCGGCGTCTTCGTCAATCTTATAGTCCAGGCCCTGATGGTGTCCCAGTAAGCATTTTAAAAGCCGGTGCAAACACGATCTTCCTATCCCTCTTATGCAAGATATTTAATCTTGCTCTTGAAACTGAAACTTATCCTTCCTTGTGGAAGGAATCACACATTTTGCCCATTCCTAAGCACGGAAAATCTACGTCATTTGATGACTTTCGGCAAATAAATACCCTCCCCGCAGTTTCGAAGATCTTAGAGACATTGATTAAATATAAAATGATGTGTCACTTAACGGAGAATAACTTACTGAGTGCTGCTCAGCATGGATTCCTCAAAGCTCGATCTTGTGACACCTGTCAACTCTCTTTCTTTGACTATGTTCTCCAATCTAGGGAAAATGGTTTTACACTTTACACAGTATATTTCGATTTCTCTAAGTCTTTCGGTCGTGTTAACCATGTTCTTTTTCTCTCGAAACTGTCTTCTTTCGGAATAGGTGGCAAACTTTTGAATTTTATATCCTCTTATTTGGGCACTCGCACACAACGAGTTAAGATTTCCAATACTATCTCCAACCCCACAGGTGTGAGGAGTGGAGTCATTCAGGGTAGTGTACTCGGCCCGCTTTTATTTTGCCTTTTCGTTAATGATGTACCCGATTTATTTCAGAATGGTAAGCCCTTCATGTATGCCGATGATCTTAAAGCTGCATATCGATATAGGCCGGCAGATCATGACATCGTGCTTGAGGTCCTAAAGAGCGATCTACAGGCTTTCGCCCAGTGGTGCCGCACATGGCGCCTTTCTGTTTCAGGGCATGAGTGCTCAGTCATGGTGGTTGGCGACGACCGCCAACCTCAACTAAGTATTGAAGGTCATGCCTGGGTTTATTAAGGATCTGTGCGTATCATACTTCAAGAGTCTCAATCTCTCGGAGCACTATGCCTTGATAGTCCCCAAGGCACGTAGAACGATCGGGTTT